TTTTGCCTCTAAAAATTCTCACTTCTCTGCTGCTGTTTTTTTCATTTTTTTTAAAGAAAATCACTACATAATTCCAAGTTTTTTTTTTTAAAGATTTATTTATTTGTTTGAAAGCTAGTGCAACAGAGAGAAAGATTTTCTATCCTCTGGTTCGCTCCCCAAATGGTCGCAAAGGGTGGGGCTGGTCCAGGCTGAGGCCAGGAGCCTGGAGCTCCATCTGGGTCTCCCACATGGGTGGCAGTGGTCAAATACTTGGGCCATCCTCTGCTGCTTTCCCAGGTGCATTAGCAGGAAGCTGGATTGGAAGCAAATTAGCCAGAGTTCAAACTGGTACTCATGTGGAATGCCAGCATCTCAAGTCGGGGCTGGACCCAGTGTGCCACAACACTGGCCCCTCTTTCTGTTTATTTTTAATCTGGAAGATAAATGTTCATATTGAGAGTTTTGTTCCAGTTTGTTATTATTAAAAAAAAAAGTGTAATATGGAGTCTCCTCTCCTTGTACACAGTAAGGTGCGATTACCATCAACCGTAAACCAGAAAGGCTTCCCTTCCCTCTCTCCTCCTTTGTGTCCCTTCCCTACTGTCTGTCTCTGTGTCAAGCTGATTTCTTGTCCTTACCAGATAAAGTCAATCCAGACAGCAATGTAAACTTATTTGGATTGGAAATGTTTTGGTAGCTCTCTGGGGTGAAAAAAACTATGAGGGCATATTGACGCTTGCCCTCCAAGAAATAGTAGTAGTGGTTATACCGGCAATGGTAGCAAAGCCTCGTCTTATGTGTGCATTTGTATCTGTTTGAGGCTGAGAGTTTGTATTGTGGAGACGTTTCACACTCCCAGCCCTGTTTGATCCCCGACCAGCCCTGTGACACAGGCAGGAGGAGGACAATTACTCACGCTGTACTTTCCCAGTCTCCAGAATGGGATTAGGGGAGGATGGGAGTAACAGCGTGTGTCACTCTCCAGGAAAGGCAGCCGGGCAGCGAGCCTGGGCTGTGCCTCCCACCTCTGTGCTGGGGATCTCCCCCTGGGTCTCAGCTATTTTTGCCCCTTTTGCGTAAGGTCCGGCATCACCGCAAACTGAAACTGTGCCGTCCACACCTCCTCTAGTTTCCTCTCTAGGTAACCTGCAGGTCTCTGTTCCCAGCCTGGGTTATCAGAGGGGGCATGGCCCACATGCTGAGGTCCCTGCCTTGGTGGCCTTTTGGGACTGGAGGCTCTCAGGGGGTCCGACAAGCAGCACTGTTATGCTCTGGCCTTGGATATCCTCAACCTCAAAGGGAGGCGGCAATGTGGTTGTTGTCCTGCAGTGTTTATTTCTCTGAGGAAATGCATAGCAAAGCATGGGGACTCCAGAGCATGCCTTAGCACTTGAACCCCTCTTCTAATTGGGGCTGCCGGGGTGTCAGGAGCCACCCTCAGGCCGACTCCCCCTTCCCATCCGGCTCCCAGGCCTGCTGCTCCCGGCTCTCTCCCTCACTATCTGGGTTTGCCTGGAAAGGATCAGCCCCTCAAGGCCTCCAATCGTTGCCTTTTTTGGAAGCCTTTCTCCCTGGGCGCTATGGGCAGCTGGAAGCAGAGATGATGTTGGGGTTTTCAGAGTAAGAAAGAGACTGCTTGCTGAGAGAAGGGTTGGGAGAGGTGGGCAGGGATGAGGGGAGGCTAGGCCCCAGTCCTGAGGAGCCCACCCATCCTTCTTGCTGCCAGAGCTGGGTGCAGGAAGAGTCCCCTCCCCTGCAGGGTCCTGGGGCGTCTGCGATGGGCCTCTTGGGGTGTGACAGCCAGGAAGGTTGGCCTTATGCCCTCCTGCCGCCATCCACATGGGCACGCTCTCCAGCCTATCAGAGGGCAGAGGGAGAGAGACGTGGAGCGTGGGGAGGGGGTCTGGGCTACAGGTGTTGAGTGTGGCCCTGGTGGCCCAGGGCCTCTCCTGGTGTGGCAGCCCCCAGAGCTGAGGAGGCCTCCGTCCTGCCCTACTGCTCACGTGCCTGTCTTGCTTCCTGCTCCCTGAGTGGGGCTTTCTGTGGTGTGGTTTTTCTAGAATCTTCCCTCCCCATCTCTGTCCCTCGGTGTGACACTCACTCACTCTACAGAATGTATTTAGGACTTATTTTAGGGGGGCGATCACAGCCAGGCACTCTCGTTTGGCCAAGTCGCTTGACTTTCTGAAGCCTCAGAGTGATTGGGCTCCTTGCTCGTGAAGCCCCTCCAACCCCCTGGCAGAGGTTTCTCAGCATTGCAGACATTGCAGAGTGCTCAGCTTTGCAGTAATCCAGAGAGAGAGAGAGAGAGAGAGAGCACGCACCTCGCAGGGCCGACGGCTCCTGAGCCATGCACGGTGACCACAGGTCGCTCCAGGCTGGGATGGGTTCCCCAGCTGACTTCGGAAGTGGCTTTGAGGGTGTGGGCAGGGTGGGGATGACTGGCGGAGCGTGGAGGTCTAGACATTGTGAAATGGGTCCAGGGAGGGGTTTTCCAGATTCCTGGCTGGTCCATGCAGCCTGTCAGGGAGCCCTCATGCAAGTGTGCCCGCACAGTGCCAGCTCAATTTGCCAAATGTCAGAGCAGGGAGGGACTGATGATGTCGTGTCCTCTCACCCCCTTGTCGAGCAGGTGAGGAGCCTGAGGCTCGTTAGTGCCAGGCCTAAGGCTGAATCTGCTTCCTGATTTCCAATGTTCTTTCCAGTACAGGTGTCCCACGTCCAGCACTGGGGCGGCAGAGGACTGTGGGATACCTGTCAGGGTTTCTGGAAGGGGATTCGGTTTGTTCTTGGTCCTGGGTGGAGGAGTGTGATAGGATAAACTCTGGTCAAGCCTGGCTTGCTGGTATTTTCCCAAGCTTGTGGAGTTGGATTGATGATTAATTTACCCAGGAACTACTTATCAAGCATCTCATAATAATAGCTAATTTCTTCTCTGCTAGGCACTGTGCTACACATGCGTGCAAAGGCTTATTTACTCCTCTGTGAAATCCCTGTAAGGGAGGGGATGCTATTAGTTTATTTTTAGTCTTTTTTATTGTGGTAAAATTCACCTTGCATAGAATTTATCATATTAAAATACTTTTATTAGAAAAAGATTTAGTTATGGGGCCGGCGCTGTGGCACAGTGGGTTAACGCCCTGGCCTGAAGTGCCATCATCCTATATGGGTGCTGGTTCGAGACCCAGCTGCTCTACTTCCTGTCCAGCTCTCTGCTATGGCCTGGGAAAGCAGTAGAAGATGGCCCAAGTCCTTGGGCCCCTGCACCCACATGGGAGACCAGGAAGAAGCTCCTGGCTCCTGGCTTTGGATCGGCACAACTCCGGCCGTTGTGGCCAATTGGGGAGTGAAACAGCTGATGGAAGACCTGTCTCTCTCTCTCTGCCTCTCCTCTCTCTGTGTAACTCTGCCTTTCAAATAAATAAATAAATAAATCTTAAAAAAATATTTTTTATTTATTTGAAAGACATAGAGAGAAGGAGAGACAGAGACAGAGATTTTCTATGTACGGGTTAACTCCCCAAATGGCTGCGATGGTCAGGGCTGGGCCAGTCCAAAGCCAGGAATCAGGAGATTTAGCCAGATCTTTCATGGGAGTGCAGGTGCCCAAGGACATGGATCATCTTCTGCTGCTTACCCAGGTGCATTGGCAGGGAGCTGGATCGGAAGCAGAGCAACGAGAATTCAAACCTGCACCTGTATGGATGCTGGAGCTGCAGGCCATGGCTTTAACCTGTTGTACCACAGCACTAGCTCCTAAAAATACTTATATTTGAGAGGCAGAGTGAGCTCCTATCTGCAGGTTTACTCCCTAAATGCCTGCCGTGGCCGGGGCTAGGCCAGAAACAAGCTGGGAGCCAGGAGCTCAGTTGAGGTTTCCGACATGGGTGGCAGGAACCCAACTATTTGATCCATCACTGGTGCCTCTCAGGGTCTGCATTGTCAGGAAGCTGGAATCAGGAGCCAGAGCCACCCATAGAATATGGGACTAATATAGGACTGCAAGTGTCTTAGCTGGCATCTTAACTGCTTGCCCCCAAATTTGTAGTCTTAGCCATTTTTAAGTGTACAGTTCAGTGGTATTAAATGCATTCATTGTATTGTAAAACCACCACTCCCATCTCTCTCTGTAACTCTTTTCACCCTGAACCATTAAGCAATAACTCTCCTTTCTCCCTCCTCCTATCCCCATAGCAACCACCATTCTACTTTCTGTGTCTATGATTTTTGATTTTTTACCACTCCAGGTTCCAAAGGAGGGGCTATTATTGTCTTCCTGTTGCAGTTCAGGAAGCTAGGCTTGGAGAGTTTGGGTTTCATGCCCAGAGAACTAGTTAGTAAGTGGCAGTTGGCAATGCTGAGATTTAGTCTGGGCCAATCTACTGTGCTCGTAGCCCTTACTGTCTGCTCCGCCCCTGCCCCTCCTCGCTATTTCTGTGGCAAGTCCTGGATTAGGGAACAGAGAAAGAACAAGAAATATACAGTTCCTGCTTTCGTGCAACTCAGAGCCTAGCTAACATCTAACATAACGGCTTCCAAATTCTGTTAACCTTGACTGACAGAAAGAAATCTGTTGTATGTCATTATTTATTATACATGTTACCCCCTGCTCCCCATTATATAAAATTTCACAAAGTGACACTTACTTTTACACTTTGGTATTTTCTGTTCCATTGCATTTTATTTAATATGGTGGAGACCACCCACATAGATTTTGGGATACGTGAATTGCATTTCACTGTTTGAAAAATGCCAGCCTAGCAGACATCTTACTCTGCAGACCCTCTCCCCAGCGGCCAGTGCGCAATCAGGCACTCAGTATTTCTGATCCCTCAGTTTCTCCTTTCTGTGCAGCAGTCCTGGGGATTATTCTAGCAAGGACCACAGCAGTTCATTTTTGCTGATTGAGCTCAAGTGCTGGGTGGACTGTGGTCCACTGGAAGGTGTCAGGGCCTGCAGGGGGCAGAGAGCCAGTGTGGCTCTGGTGGCAGGGCTTCCTCATGGGCTCTGTCTTCCAGGCCCTGCCCGTGGGCTCGCCCCGCTGTGACCTGAGGGAGAATCTGCTACAGGACAACTGTGCCCCAGAGTCCATCGAGTTCCCGGTCAGTGAGGCCCAAATCCTGGAGGCCAGGCCCCTCAGCGACAAGGGCTCTGGAGACAGCTCCCAGGTCATTCAAGTCAGCCCCCAGAGGATTGCGCTGCGGCTGCGACCAGGTAGGGATGGGACTCGTTGTGGGGCGAGACCTGGGGCAGGTGGGTGTAGGGCACAAGGTGGAGGTGTTGGGGAGGTGGCTCAGGATGGAGATGGGGAGGTGGAAGGAGGATGTGGGGGAGGTGTGGGCAGGAAAGTGGAAGGAAATGCAAGGTGCTGGGGCTTGAGTCAGATCTGAGTGCGAATCTCAACTCTGCCTTATATTAGCTGTTAGCAAGTTATTCACCACTTCTGACGTAGTGGGCACTCAAAACAAGTTTGTTTCTTCTTTCTCTCAATGCCTGTTTTACCTAGCTTGTAGCTTTGTGTTGAGGTACAAATGAGATATAGGATGAGAAAGTAATTTATAGGCCGATTTTCCATGGATTTTGGATCAAAGGAGGGACAGAGACCTTGGAGAGAGGGAGGATGGGGCTGGAAACCTTTGGAAGTATTTAGAGTTTCCAGTTAAATCAATAAGAATGTAAGAGTGATTCACTTTGTATAAGGCATGTGTTTGATGCTATGGAATTCAGAGAAAGGAGAAAAACCAACATCTTTGCCTTCCAGATGATTCGAAGACTTTCTCCATCCAAGTGCGGCAGGTGGAGGATTACCCTGTGGACATCTATTACTTGATGGACCTGTCCTACTCCATGAAAGATGATCTCCGGAGCATCCAGAACCTGGGTACCAAGCTGGCCTCCCAGATGCGCAAGCTCACCAGTAACCTGCGGATTGGCTTTGGGGCCTTTGTGGATAAGCCTGTGTCACCCTACATGTACATCTCCCCACCGGAGGCCCTCAGAAACCCCTGCTATGAGTAAGTCCCTCCTCCAGAAGTCAAGGAGGTGCCTCTCCCCCCTGCCTATGCACACCCAAGTCCTGGTTCCCATTTCTAACGCTGGGATATCTTTGTTGGCTCTTTTCTCCCGTGGTCTTCCTGTTGGGCAAATGGGCCTGTCCACCTGGAGTGTTGACTGGCTGAGGCCAAGGCTGTTTGGGGACCTAGGGAGAAAACACACCATCTTCTGAGTCTTGGTCTTAAACAGATGGGAGGCAAGGGAGAAGGGAGGGCAACGAGGGAGAGAGAAGCTTATGGACAAGTCAACAGAGGTGGTATGATTTCGGAAGGATTGATTCCATTCTTGTTATTGTCTTCCTCATCCAGGCCATGCATCTTGCAGGGTTAAAATGTGAGAGATGAAGTCTTAGAGGAATATAACAGAGTGGAAATGGCATTTATTGCACCCTTTACTAGTCTATAAGTTGAAAAGTTTTGCCTCTGACACTTTAGCTTACAATTTAATGGCTTATTTAATTAGCAGACTGAAAATACATGCATTGCAATAATTTAAAATGGTGCTTACTGACAAAGTGTGCATTTACTTTTCTTTTTTATTTTAATTATTTTTTTTAAAAGAGGTACCATTTGAGTTTTTTTTTTTTAAGATTTATTTATTTATTCGAAAGTCAGAGTTACACAGAGAGAGGAGAGGCAGAGAAAGAGAGAGGTCTTCCATCCGATGGTTCACTCCCCAATTGGAGCTGCGCCGATCCAAAGCAAGGAGCCAGGAGCTTACTCTGGGTCTCCCACGTGGGTGCAGGGGCCCAAGGACTTGGGCCATCTTCTACTGCTTTCCCAGGCCATAGCAGAGAGCTGGATCAGAAGTGGAGCAGCTGGGTCTTGAACCAATGTCCATATGGGATGCCAGCACTGGTGAGGACGTTAACCCACTCTGCCACAGCACCGGTCCTACTTTTCTTTTTTAAAATTTTATTCATTTATATTTAAATTTATTTGAAAGGCAGAGACAAAGAAGCAAATAGAAATCTTCCATTTGCTGGTTCACTTCCCAAATGTCTGCCAACAGTCAAGATTGGGCCAGGCTGAAGCCAGGCACCAGGGATTCCATCTGGATCTCCTATGTGAATGGCAGGGACCAAAGTACTTGAGCCATTACCTACCTGCCAGGGTGTGCATCAGCAGGAGGCTGGAATCAGAAGTGGAGCCAGGACTTGAACCCAGGCACTCTGATATGGGATGCAGGTGTCCCAAGCAACATCTTAACCAGATGTCCGCCCCTGAATTTACTGTTTAGTTTTCAGAATTATACTGTGTGGCTTTTAAGATTCCTTAGTAAAGATATCAACCATCAATTAAGAACCTCAGGCTGGGACAGAAAATCTCCTGCCTAGCATCGCCTGTTGGTTTGTTAACGGTTCAGGAATGTTCCCTTATTGATGGACATTTGCTTTCCTGGGACTTCAGACAAGTGTTAAGAATAAGGTGACAGCAACAACAGCTCTTGCCTCCCTCTGGCCTGAGTGCTTTACGTGCTGTAACTCCCTGAGGTCCCGCAGCAGCTGTCACCAGATGTGTGCTCTAGTGGCCCCATTTTCAAAGGTTGGGTTTAGAGAGGGTCCCATGGCTAACTAACAGGACGCCCTGGGGTTTGAACTCAGGCAGTCTGTTTTCCCAGCTCACCTCTCTCACCCTCTAGGCTGCTGGGAGATAAGATGATGATTGTTCAGAGAATTTGAGGGGTTTTGGGTCTGAACTGTCTGGGTAATTGTGGCTGCATGGGCCAGGCCTGGGTGTACCCACTTTGTGTTTGTCCCCCTCTCTCCCTGCCACTCCCTGTGTTGCCTTTCCCATCCCAGAGTCTTAAATGATCTCCCGTCCCTCTGCAGCATGAAGACCACCTGCTTACCCATGTTTGGCTACAAACATGTGCTGACGCTAACTGACCAGGTGACCCGTTTCAATGAGGAGGTGAAGAAGCAGAATGTGTCACGGAACCGGGACGCTCCAGAGGGTGGCTTTGATGCCATCATGCAGGCTACAGTCTGTGATGTGAGTGCGGAGGGCACGGCGTGCCAGGCGTGGTTGGAGATTAAGCGGAGGAGGATTTCTGGTGTGAAGTAGATAAGAATGAAGCAGAGCTTCACGCAGGGCTGGGCTGTAGCCTGCACGGCCACTCCACGGCCAGCGCTGACATTTCTTTGGACCTCGGTGGTCCAGGATTTTTCCCAAGGAGACCATTTCCCACCTTCTCTGAAACTGCTTCAGAGTCTAGGCTGGGTTCACTTAACCTCACTAAGAGGGCAGATATTCAGATGGGATTTCTCCTAGCCCAGCACAGCTGTGCAGGTGCCCTTCCAGATGGACAGTGTGACTGTCATTGGAGAAGCCATCAGAGATGGAGAATGAAGGTGTCATTTGGTCAGTCAGCCAGGAGCCTGGAGAGCAGAGGTCGCTGAGTGCTGTCTCAGGTTCCAAGGAGTGGCACTGAGCCCCTTCTCCAGCTTGCCCAGCCCTGCAGCCAGGGGGTTCTTGGGTCTTTGTTCTCTACCAGTGACGTGGCTGAAGTTGCTTTGTCTCCTTTGCCTTGCTTTTTTCTAATAGGAAAAGATTGGCTGGAGGAATGATGCATCCCACTTGCTCGTGTTTACCACTGATGCCAAAACTCATATCGCACTGGATGGAAGGCTGGCCGGCATTGTCCGGCCCAACGATGGGCAGTGTCACATTGGCGGTGACAACCATTACTCTGCCTCTACCACCATGGTGAGATTTCAGGCACCAGCTGTGGTCCTTAAGCGTGATGACCAGGGCTGCCCCAACCCAGGCAGAGTCTTTGTGTGAAGATGCGAGTGGCAGGCTTTCCTCTGGGAAGGGTTCAAGGGTTGGTTTCAGGGTGTCCTTGCTCTCTGCCAAATGGACACCCGCATTCGAGGTGCAGTCCATTAGAGAGGCCCTGACTGTGGGCAGTGTTTTCACTGCCTCCATGGTCACCATCCCCATGGGCAGCATCACAGCATCCAGAATGGACCCAAAGAACTTTCTAGGTCCAACTGGAAAGCAGCCTTCCTCTCGGCACTGATTGGCCCCTTCTTGGAATACCAGGCTCGCTTGTGGTTCTTAGGAGAATATAGAGGAACAAGAAAGATCACCAAAAGAAGGAGAGCAGGTCCAATGAGGAAGGGTTAAAGGGTTCATAGTTAGCTGGAGGAGGGAAAGCTAAAGGCTGATTTGGCTGATATGTGAGAAGACTTCTTCTAAGTTAATAAGATGGAAGAGGTTTAACCTGAAGCAGGAGAACTTGCTATAAGCCTTAAGAAAAATGTTTATATGCAGAATGCTAATATTCTGACTACCTGGGATGAAAGTTGTGAGCTCTTCATTTCTTAAAGACACTATACCAATGACCTTGTCTAGGTGGCTTTAAAAGTTCACCTATGAGGCTGACGCTGTGGCACAGCAGATTAAGCCACCACCTGTGCACTGATTTGAGTCCTGGCTGCTCTGCTTCCAATCTAGATCCCTGCCAATGTGCCTAGGAAAGCAGAAGAAGATGGCCCAAGTCTCTGGGCCTTTGCACACATGTGGGAGAGACCTAGAAGAAGCTCCTGGCTCCTGGCTTCAGCCTGGCCTAGCCCTGGCCACTGTAGCCATTTGGGGAGTGAACCAGCAGATGGAAGATCTCTCTATCATTCTCTTTTTGTAACTCTGACTTTTAAATAAGTAAAGAAATCTTAAAAAAAAAAAGTTCACGTTTGTAGGGATGAGTATTTGGCACAACAGTTAAGACTCCACTTGAGATGCCTGCATTCAGCCTCCTGCTGGTGTGCATCCTGGGAGGCAGCAGATGATGGCCCACGTACTTGAGTCTGTGCCACTCACGTGAGAGACCCAGACTGAGTTCTGGGATTCTGGCTTCCACCTGGCGGACTTTGTTGCAGGCTAAGGAACCACCTCGGTGGTTGAACCTGCAGACAGAAGATTTTTCTGTTTCTATCTCTCTGCCTTTCATGTAAATAAAAAACTAAAATAAGTAAGAATATTTTTAAAGTATACCTATGTTAAGGGAGAAGACTGAACCAGGTAATATCAGGAGTTCCTTGCAAGGTCTAGGGTTCCATGGACATGTTCACCATTCATCATAACTCTGGTGTCTCCCAAGTTCCTTGTCAGCCATATCCAGATCAAACAATGGATGAGCCAGCAACCTTTGACACTAGTCTATGTGAGTCACTGGACCAGGGGTTGAGGTAGATCCAGAGACTATACAAGGGCCTACCCTTATTGAGTTTTTGTCTTAGCTGAGTCAAAAGGATTTATATGTTGACTAATAACACATGATGCATGATTAGTACATTAGTGTACTAGTATGTTAGTGTCCATAGTGGCTACAGATACCAAAGGAGGGAAAGCTCATCATGGCTTGAGACAGTTGAGAAAGGCCTCTTGGAGATGGTGGGGCTTGAGCTGGGTCCTGTGGAAGGAGGAACCAAAATGGCCACTCCAGGAGGGCGAAAAAGTGGGGGATGTCAGTGCTGAGTGGAAGAGAGGTGAGTGGGGTTTGGAAAGAAAGACTGGAGGACCAGGAGGGCCAGGCCAAGGTCTTTGTCGTTGTAGGCTGAGCATCCCCAGTCTGAAACTCCAAAATCAGAAATGCCCCAATCTCTGAAACTCCTTGAATGATTTCAGTCCATGTGACTATCTCAGACTCAGAAAATCCCGCAACCTGAGGAACACCTGCTCCCCAGGACTTTCGCTGAAGGATGCTTAATCCCGTAGCTGCTCAGCAATGAGGCCTATGCAAGTCGCTGGCCCATGGGAGCTGCTCTGTGGTGCACAGTGTTGGATTTGGGAAGAAGGAGATGCGTCGTTTTGACCCCCTTATCCTGTACCTGTTTATCTGTCCTTGGAGTTCACAGCCGTGTTTGTGCTGAAACTTCTCCATTTTTGTCTCACTTTGAGCAGGGGTGAGAAAGTGTAAGCCACGGCCCAGATCAGCCAAGTTTGAAGGCGAGGAAGCCAGGGATGTCTGTGGGGCTTCTTCACCAACCTCCCTTTTCTCCTTTTTCTTAGGATTACCCCTCTCTAGGACTGATGACTGAGAAGCTATCCCAAAAAAACATCAACTTGATCTTTGCAGTGACTGAAAATGTGTTCAATCTCTACCAGGTGACTGTGCCTTTGGGGCTCCGGTCGTGAGACTCCCCTTCACCCCACTCCCCAGGTGCTAGGGTCTTCCCCAGAGTCTTTCTGCTGCAAGCCCTGGGCCTACCAGGAGGGGCTTGGTGTTTGTAGTGGGGAGTGGGGGGTGAGAGGTTCCCTGTCATCCTGGCAGGGATAAGTGGACTATCCTGTACCCTTCCCCAGTCTTTGCTTCAAGACTCTCAGTCTGATCTGGGGAGGGCTTTTGGAGAGTGCTACCTTCCTTCAGCACGCTCGGGACGTCTTTGTCTTCCTTCCCAGAACTATAGCGAGCTCATCCCAGGGACCACAGTGGGGGTTCTGTCCACCAACTCCAGCAACATCCTCCAGCTCATTGTTGATGCTTATGGGGTAAGTGTCTCTTGCGGGGACTGGGACACCGAGATCCCCCTCCCTTGGCTTGTGCAGCAGGCTCAGAGTTAAGAGTCACCCCACAGCCTTCTCTTTGCTCCCAGAGGCCAGGCGATGGCCAGCCCTGGGATGGATGCAGCCTCTGAGAAGGCTGGGAGCGGCCAGGAGAGAGTGAGTGGAGAGCTTAGAGGAGCTGGGGATCAGATGGAGGAGTGTCGCTCCCCCTCTTCGTGGAGGAACGACACAGGACCCTGCGCTGTTCTTTGGTCTGCTCGGCCCTCCCCGGGTTTGCTGCTGGTTCTTCCCGGGTTGGCTACCGACCCTTCCACCTCCGTGGAAGGGCGGTTCCCCCTCGCCACTTTCCCCACTTCCGCGGGGGAGCGGCACACCGCCGGCCGGCGCTCTCGGGGGCTGCACAGGTGTTCCCTCAGATGTTCCTGGTGCATGTTGTCTCTCTCCTCCTTTATAGTCCTCTTCCACCAATCCCAACTCTGCTACCCACACGCCGAGTACGCTGCTCTCCTCCAATCAGGAGCAGGTCCTACAGTTTATTGGTTGAACTGGAGGCAGCTGTGTAGAAGCTTACTCCTCTCCCAGTGCCATATTGTGGGAGAGCAGATGCATAGAATAAGTCTTAATTCGAGTAACAGTCTAGTCCGAGTTGCTCCCAGTTGCTCCCCACAGAGGAGTAGGGCCCTGAATTGTGGGAGGGGCAGGATGAGGGGCAGCTGGGCGCCCACAGGCAAGCTGCAGGGAGGATAAGGTGCCTAAACACTACCTTGCTCCCCCAGGTGCCCAGCATGGCATTCCTCTTTTGCATATTCATGAGGCCTGTGGGAGGCATAGCTGGTTTAGGCTGTACCCAGACTCACCTGGGCACAGTGGGAAGCAGACGAGGGAGCAGCTTCCCTGGGCAGGAAATACGGCAGCAGGCAGGTTCCTGGGGGTGGCCTTGCAGCTTCCGGGTGAACCTCCACATCTTGGCACAGCCAGCACGAGTCCGGGGCCACCACGGAGTTTGTTGGGATGGAATTAGCTCTTGTCCATTTCCTCTGGGCTCCTTTCCTTACCTGCTTCGCTTTTTTCTCAGAAAATCCGCTCTAAGGTAGAGCTGGAAGTCCGTGACCTCCCCGAGGAGCTGTCGCTGTCCTTCAACGCCACCTGCCTCAACAATGAGGTCATCCCGGGCCTCAAGTCGTGTGTGGGACTCAAGATTGGAGACACGGTGAGCTGGGCTGGGCAGGTCTGGCGCTGGCCACGCCCTTCGTCCTCCCCCCTCCCCCCAGTTGTCCTGAAGGTCGCCACGAGGCAGACGCCAGCCTTTCCCTCCGAGACTTCCCTGTTAAATGGTTTCACCATCTGGATTCTCTGAAACTTGCCATTTGGTCCCCCCTCTTTGAGAACGCACATTTCATTACAAATGAAAATCTCTCTTGCCTTCAGGCCCTTATCGGTCTCCAGCCTCCCCCAAGGTAATGCCTGTGCTTTTCCTGTGATGCAAAAGGGCAGTATCGGCTGGAACCTTACACTGAGCACTGGCTGCGTGCTCTGCACCGTATTAGCTGCTGAAGATTCAACAGCAAACGGAACATGCAAAAGAGGGCTTTGTGTGTCTTGCTGGTGTTGTGTAATGAGCCCAGCTAGCTCAGCAGGCCAGAGCAGAGTGTCCCCAAGGGCACCGTTCTGTTCTGCGTGAGCTGGTGTGTTCCGCAAGCGGCACAGGAACCGGCCTTCGGATTCATGCCCGTAAACCACATCTGCATCCAGCTGGATGTCACAGCGGCAGAACTCTCCCTCGCTCTCGCGTCTGCTTTGCACACCCTGCTGGCGGGAGGGCTGAGCAAGCCTAGATCGCAGGAGGAAGCCACTCCCAGTAGCCTTTGCCTCCCAGGGCTGCCATGGTACCTCCACCCACCTGTGTCTGAATAAGATCTCGCCTCCCATCCAGGTGAGCTTCAGCATCGAAGCCAAGGTGCGGGGCTGCCCCCAGGAGAAGGAGAAGTCCTTCACCATCAAGCCCGTGGGCTTCAAGGACAGCCTCACCGTGCAGGTCACTTTCGACTGTGACTGTGCCTGCCAGGCCCACGCAGAGCCGCACAGCCACCGCTGCAACAACGGCAACGGGACTTTTGAGTGCGGGGTGTGCCGCTGCGGGCCCGGCTGGCTGGGCTCGCAGTGCGAGTGCTCCGAGGAGGACTACAGCCCCTCCCAGCAGGACCAGTGCAGCCCCAAGGAGGGCCAGCCCATCTGCAGCCAGCGGGGCGAGTGCCTCTGTGGCCAGTGTGTCTGCCACAGCAGTGACTTCGGCAAGATCACGGGCAAGTACTGCGAGTGCGACGACTTCTCCTGTGTCCGCTACAAGGGGGAGATGTGCTCAGGTGAGTGGAATCTCACGCTCCTGTCCTGGCTGCCACAGCCACTCACACACCTGTAGCCCTGGCAGGGTAGGCGGCAGGTGGGGCTTGCGGTGGTCCGAGCCAGGCAGAGCTGGGCAGGTGATGTTTCACACCAGTGCCGAGAAGCAGGAATGGGATCCTTCTTAGTTTCATTCAGCTCCTGTGTCCTTGCTGGTGGAGCACCAGGGGCTGACCTGGGCCCCGCCCGCTCCTAGAAGACAGTGGGAGGGCGAGGGGAACTTCATTTGAAGATAAGTTTTTTTCTTCTTTTCTTTCATCTGCCCTCTCAGCCAATAGCTCCTAATCTTTTTGAATATAAAGACTGATCCCTTTACAGGTTAAAAAAAATCACTGGCCATTGTTTAATTTTTAGTACTTATACACTTAGAAATTACATGATGTCACTTTACATATATTCTTTATATATATTATATATAATATATGCCATATATTATATAATATACATTATATTATATATTATATGTATAAATATATACATATATTTATATATAAAAAGTTAGCAATAATTTTATGAATTTTATCACAGGTGACTTGGAAAATTGTACTATATATGCAAGACATTGGTGCATAGTTAGTAGTTTATATACTTAGAACAGTGTCCAGAAAGTGGTAGTGCTTGTTAAATGTTAGCATCACTTTCTTGTCACTGTTACTACTGTTAGTACTACTCTTGCTTTTTGGAATCTAGATCTGTCCAGTATGGCAGCTGTTAGCCATGCACAACTATTTATATGAATGAAAATTTGGAACTGGCATTGTGGTTGGAATGGGTTAAGCTGCTGCCTGTGTCACTGGCATCCTGTTTGAGTGCTGATTTGAGTCCCCGCTGTTCCACTTCCAGTGCAGCTTCCTGATAATGTGCCTGGGAAAGCAGCGAAAGATGACTCAAGGGCTTGGGCCCCTGCCGTCCTTGTGGGAGACCTGGATAGAGTTCCTGGCTCCTGGCTTTTGCCTGGCCCAGCCCTGGCTGTTGTGGCCATTTGGGGTATGAGCCAGTGGATGGAAGATCCCTCTCTAACTAGCTTTGCCCCTCTCTCTGTCACTCTGCCTTCCAAATAAATAAATAATGTTTAAAAATTAATCACAATTTTAAAAATCAAAAACTCTTTTCCTTAGTTGGTCAGTAACCACATGCAACTAGTGGCTATTGTAGTCCACTGTGCAGACATAGAGCATTTCAGCTTGACAGGAAGTTCTACTGGACACTGCCACCCAAGAGCTTCTCTGACTACATGCGGGGGATTATGGTTTTGAGTCTTCCTACCTGCAGGATGCTGAGTTTTCTTATTACAAAACGCACTGAAGTCTTGAGGCCCATTGATAATCTCAAATTAGTTTCTCGCTGTCCCAAAAATGGCTCTTGGGATCCTTCCTCTTCATCCACAGGAAGCTGAGCTAAGGTTACTGTAGTATTTATCTGCAAACATGTTGACAACACTGAGAGGGCAGCAGACAGAGGGAGTTGTTCTTGGGACCTGACAGTAGGCACTTGCTGGGCCGTGGTTACTGTCGTTTAATCCTTCTTGCCACAGACAGGCTGCAGACATGTGCAAGTTGGTTGGGACTGGGTTATGGGTGTATTGTGTGGTTAATTGAACAAACAGATTATAATTGGTTTCTGTGATGATCCACAACCCAGATTGGCTTCATTTGCACTGGGGTTCTAACCAGTAGAGCCAGTCCGTATAGGCGTTCATGTTAACAACAGCCTTAAAAAAACTCGATTGGAAAGGAAAATCGGTGTCATTGTAAAGCATGTCCAAGTGACACAAAGTTGGCTCCATTTTCTTGTTTGTAACATTGTTTCCTTATGCCAGTAAAATCTGGGATAGAGTTTGAAGGAAGTGATGTCAACCTCAGAGATGTCAGGGGAGAGAGGGCTGGTACACACGGAGGAACGCAGTTTGAGTTGGGGAGTGGGCAGGAACTTCAGTTTAATAGTTCAGAGTATTTCCATCATATTCAGATGCTGATGGAGGTGGGTAAGTTGGAAGTGGAGGGCCCGTGGGGAGAGGGCTTCAAATGGCCCCGGGGCAGCCCCACCCGTCCTGCGTGGGCTGCGTGTTCCTGGTCCATGTGAGGCACTGGGAAGGATCCCAGCCAGAGTTGTGTTTCCTTTGGCTGTTGGCCTCACTGAAGCCAAACAGGAGCTGCCTAGGTCACAGCTCTGGTTCTGGTCCCCCATCAGGGCCAGAACAGCCATCTTCAACGTGCTTCTTGTCTGATCCTTGGGGGACCCCAGGCAGCTGCTGCGGCCTCCCTCCTCTGCACCCTGCCAGGGTGTTGGGTGCTCAGCTGGCCTCAGGGCTCACCCTGTGGCACCATCATCATGTCCCCAGGGACTCTCAGGGGCACACATGTACCAGGTGCCTGCCCTGTGCCAGCGTTTGGTCCATATTGGTGAACGCGGATCATGCATGGTTTCTGGTCTCTTGGAGCTATGGCCCAGTTTGCCATTGTCCCTTGCCAGAGCTGCTGGGCCTGTAGCCTGTTCTTTGCCACAAGGAGGTCTCACAAGGCTGGAGTGCTGTGACTCGGCCATGTCCTCACCCCTGGCCTCAACGCCTTGGCTATTTTGCTGGCTGCTAACTCCCTGCCTCGGGGATGGTCTTCAAAGCTGCCTCACATGTCAGAGAGCGCCTCCTGGTCCTCAAGGTTCCTGCCGTATCCACGTCCACAAGGCTCTGGGGACCAGGTTTTGTGCTGTTGTGTGTGTGTGTGTGTGTGTGTGTGTGGAGGAGGGGACTCAGAGACATTTTTGTCCTTTCTTAACTTACCCAAGGGTGCTTCACAACACAAAGCAGACTGCCAGACCCCAGAGGCGAGGGGGCCTCAGGGAGTGGCATAGGAGCCCACTGGAGAGAGGCTCATCGTGGACAAGCCTGGGTGGCTTTGTGGGGGTGGGAGACATCTGATGAATCTCAGAGGATGGGCTGGCTCCTACAGGAGTGATGAGTCAGCGCAGGAGGTCTAGCTGCAGGGGGAGGGGCCGGTGCACCCCTGACCCTCAGGCTCTGGCCTTCCCTTTCCCTCCTCTCCCCTCCCTCCAGCCCTCACCCCCCTCCTCTGACATTCTTATGAACCCAGCTTCAGCGTTGCTCTCCTGGAGGGGCGCCAGTCCTGTGACATTACCACACTGTGGCTTCCTGTTAGGGGCCGGCCCTGCCAGGGCCCAGGGTCAGCCCGCTGGCCACCCTTGCCCCTTGGCTGTCCAGCAGACCGTCCTGTCACAGATCACTTTGTTTAGCCTCACAAAGGAAGCACTGTGGGACAAGGGTTTCCCAGGAGACCGAGGCCTCTGAGAGCTGCCAGGCCTCTGTGGTGTTGGTGTTTCCCCATCCAGGAGCCGTGGCCAAAAATGAGGCAGAGTGGACGCTGTGCGGCCCCCGCTGCTGGGAGGGCTGCTGGTCGCAGCTCGGCTGGAGCATTGCCCTCGGCTCCCAGGAGCCGCCTTGCGCCTCACGTTGGCCAGTGCTGGGTCACAGGAGGCCATTCAAGCTCTGGAGCCCCACTGCGGGGTCAGGCTGCAGGAGTCTCTGCCCCAGAGCGAATTCCTGTTGAACTTTGACTCTGCCCTTGTCCTGCTTCCCTCCCGGTCTCCCACTTCCCCACTAAGAACCTGGAACAGGGATTTCCAATTCCCATCACAAGCTGTGCTTCCAGGAAACCCAGCCTCAACTCTGCAGGCCTTTGTGCTTCTCCCGTGCTCCCGCCAACCCTGCATCCCTGCATCCCTCCTCTCCAGGTGCACGTGGTGGCTGGGCAGCTGGGGGCGTTTGCTGTCCTTTCTGGGAAACAGACATTTCTTTCCAAGGTGGTCAAGGTGTGTCTCAGTCTCACTTAATTTTGTGTTGGAGTCTTGAATGCCAGTGTATATACAGCAGAATAGTGCTGGGGCCATGGGTAGGAGTCCATGGGGTCTCTGGGTAGCACTAGGTGCCAGCTCATCACTGTGTGAGCCTGGCCACCTACCACCCTTTCTTCTACCTCCTTGGCCACCTGCTCACACACTGACGTGGTTTCCAGGCCAATTCAGGTTGCTTCCCCTTTGTCCCCTGCCTTTCCTCTGATTAGCAGTCAGATTTTTCTTATTCATCTGTGTCTTCCTGATTCCGAGTCTGGAGAGTGAGTCACTTTTCTGCAGCATTTGGGAGCCAACATTGCGAGGGTGGGGAACTTTTTTTCTGCCAAGGGCCATTTGGATATTTATAACATCATTTGAAGGCCATACAAAATTATCAACTTGAAAACATTAGCCTGCTATATAGATGTACTGTCAAATCTTGCCTGGAGCTGCCTTGGCAGGGGCAGAATGATTTTGTGGGCTTCATACGCCCCATGTTGCCCAGCCCTGGCCAGGCCTGATTAAATGAATGGTAGATGGATACAACATTGCAGGTTAGCACCTGCCTTAAGCCATGGTCCCACCCCAGGCTCTCTCCCATTCCTCCACTCCTCTGGTAAGGCAGCAGATCTTCTCCACTGCTGGCTCCTTGCAGAACTGTCATAATACAAACCAGGGTGCATGGTGGTGAATGTGTGTGTGTTTCCAGGACTGTAACTAGCATCTAAGCCCTGTGATGGTAGGGACCTCGTCTGTCTTGTTCGCTGCTGAATCTGCTGTGCCCAGCCCATGAGGTGAGCTCAAGAAGGTCTCCTTACTTTGATCCAGCGCAGTTCTGGATGTTGCAGGCATTTGGGGAGTGAACCAGTGGATGGATGCTGTGTCTCTCTCTGCCTATCAAACAACAATAATAAAAGGACAGTGCAGAAGATGGTGAATGGTTTAGTGTGGTGGCAATGAGAGGAAGTGGTAAGGTGTAAAGTTGGATGTAGGTTGAGTCCATTGTAAGTGCCTTGAATGTATGCTAATCCTTTGGCAGCTTGGAGTGTAGGTTTTTAAGCAGGTGAATGGTATGATCAAATATGTTTCTTTTTTTGTGTAAAGACTTACTTTATTTATTTGAAAGAGTTACAGAGAGAGAGGTAGATTCAGAGAGAGAGAGAGAGAGAGGTCTTCCATTCCCGTTGATTCACTCCCCAAATGACCGCAACGGCCAGAGCTGTGCCAATCCGAAGCCAGGAGCCAGGAACTTCCTCCGGGTCTCCCATGCAGGTGCAGAGACCCAAGCACTTGGGCCATCTTCTACTGCTTTCCCAGGCCATAGCAGAGAGCTGGATTGGAAGAGGAGCAGCTGGGATACGAACCGGTGCCCATATGGGATGCTGACGCTGCAGGCTGGGGCTTTAACCCACTGTGCCACAGCGCTGGCCCCTCAAATGTGTTTCAAACAGTGGTTCTAAACAGGGAGGAAGAGGTTGTTTTGTCTCCCAGTGGTCACTCGGCAATGTCTAGTGACATTTTTGATAGTTACAACTGGAGACTCACTACTGATATCTGTGGGTAGAGGCCAAGGATGCTGAACAGGATAGCTCCCCTGCTCCACACCCAAGAGTTATTGACTAAAATAAATAAATAAATAAAAAATTGCCAAGTTTAGGAAACCATGCTGTAAAAAGAATCCTGGATGCAGAAGAAGGGTGGATGGAATGGAAGATACCCTGGGGAAGGAGGGGGCTGGGGATGTTCTGGGGATAGAATCCGGCTTCATCCAGGGGATGGAAACATCTTTAGTGAGGTCCAGAAACTCCCCCTTCCTGGCCTGCTGTCCACGCTCATCTCAATAATTCAGTACTTTTTTTTAAAAAAAAGTATTGAAATCCATGTATGGTTTTTTCATAATGTACATTTCCACAAACTTTAAAAAATATTTATTTTTGATAAGGTTACAAAGGGAGGGAGAGACAGAGGGAGATCGTCCATTCACTGGTTCACTCTCCAGATGTCTGCAACGGCTAGGTCTGGCCCAGGCCAAAGCCAGGAGCTTTGGGTCTCCCACATGGGTGGCAGGGGCCCAAACACTTGGGCAATGTTTGGCTGCCTTTCCCAGGCCATTAACAGGGAGCTGGATTGGAAGTGGAGCAGCCGGGACACAAACTGGTGGGATGCTGGTGTCAGAGGTGACGGCTTTATCTGCTGTACCCCAATGCAGGCCCTAATTCAGTGCATTTGAGTGCCTCAAAATTTCTCATTGGTATCAAGCCTAGTTACTAGATTTTTCATGAAATTTTCCTACCTACTTTAGTTTTTCTTCCTCCACTGGTCACTTGGAGAACATTCCATTAAAACTTAGTCCCTTGTCCACTGGTGACAGCCATTTTTTGCTGTAGGTCACGAAGTCTTCTGGAAACACCATATTAGTATAAACAGAGAAAAGCATTGTTTACATTACTGCACAGAGGCTAAGCAACGAGAATCCGAAGTCAGAGTGACTTCTGCCTGAGCCCTGACTCTGCCATTTACAAGCTGTGTCGTCTTAGACTAGTTGCTTATTTCCTTGACATTGGGGTTGTTATGAGAAACAAATAGGGCAGCATACTAAAGAACTTGGTGCAGTGCTCGGCACGTGTTAAGTGCCCATTTACCATCACGGGCCGTTAGCATCGCTGTTGTGGTGCCTGTTGGGGCTGTCTTCCACTGGGGCATTTACCACCTTGGTTGGTTTGGGAAAGAGATAGAGCTCTCTAAATGCTTTCCAACGCTGCCCCACTGCACACTCAGGGCCGCAGACCAGGTAATGAGTTCAGACTGAGAAGAGAACCAGAGCAAGAAAGTCGGGTTGTGTTGGTGAGGCCAGAGACAGTCGAACTGTGTCTACAACTTGACAACAACAGTCATTTTAAGACGTTTAGCTGTGGCACACGTTCTGCAGGGACGAGCCAGCAGCAGCTTAGTGCAGGCCATGGACAGTGAGCCTCGCTCCCGCTGCTCACTTCAGGCAGCTCTCTCTTCTGCTTTTCCTTTTTTTTTTTTTTTTTTTTGACAAGCAGTTAGACAGTGAGAGAGAGAGAGACAGAGAGAAAGGTCTTCCTTCCATTGGTTCACCCCCCAAATGGCTACTACGGCTGGAGCTACACTGATCTGAAGCCAGGAGCCAGGTGCTTCCTCCTGGCCTCCCATGGGGTGCAGGGCCCAAGCACCTGGGCCATCCTCCACTGCACTCCTGGGCCACAGCAGAGAGCTGGCCTGGAAGAGGGGCAACCAGGACAGAATCCGGCGCCCCAACTGGGACTAGAACCTGGAGTGCCGGCATTGCAGGTGGAGGATTAGCCTAGTGAGCCATGGTGCCGGCCTCTTCTGCTTTTCCTTGAGCTTCTCTCGTTTTCTGACTTCTCTCTGGGGCATTCGTGGGATGTGTGCCACAGCACTGGTCCTTAGCCAGCCACGAGGAGGATGTGTGTGTTCTCTGTGCTCAGCTGGCCCCACCCCACCCGCCTTGTGTCCTGGGTGCTCTGTGTGTCCTTCCCTTCTCATAGGGCTGAGGGTCCTGGGCTCGGGATCTCTCCCTCCCTCCCTCCCCCCCTCCCCATTGCTGTTCGGGTGCACTTCCTTCTCTCCTGGCAGGGTGATGCTGAGCTGATTTCCAAAACAGAATAATGGACTGACTGAGCGTGGTTTATTAGTGGGAGGAGGGGGCCAACTTGTCCACACCGGAGCCTCTGTTGTTGTCTGACCTAACTGTGCGATGGTGGTGATGAAAACGGCAGACCTGTCCGATGAGCAGCAGGGGGAGCAGCCCCACGGCAGGTCAAAGGGAAAGAGTTGTCAGGCCTGAGGGCCTTTTGCCAGCAACAGGCCGTGCCATTAAGGCTCTTGAGTTCCCTTTGTGGGCTTGGGACTATGCCTTGGTGCTGCGCCAGCTCTGGGGGCTGCAGACCTTGCTTCGTGTCCTGAGACTAGGAGAAGCTGGCTGGGAAGGCAGAGGGATTCCGAACAGAACAAGAGCAGGGTGGGGGCCTGGGAGACGTAGTTCCTGAGACTTCCCTGCTCTGTGGCGATTCATTGGAACACCAGAGAACTGAGTTTGTCCCTGCAGGTTGAGCTCGCCTGGTAGGAAGCCAGCTCACTGTCAGCCTGGTGGATCATCATCTGTCTGGGTGGGAGAGCAGAGTGGCTGCTTATAGACTTGTCTTGGGAACAGGACCTTCACAGTCGGCCTGTGTGTTTGCAGGCCATGGCCAGTGCAGCTGTGGGGACTGCCTGTGTGACTCCGACTGGACCGGCTACTACTGCAACTGCACCACGCGCACCGACACCTGCATGTCCAGCAACGGGCTGCTGTGCAGTGGCCGGGGCAAGTGCGAATGTGGCAGCTGCGTCTGCATCCAGCCAGGCTCCTATGGGGATACCTGTGAGAAGTGTCCCACCTGTCCTGATGCCTGCACCTTTAAGAAGTGAGTGGACAGTTTGGAGAGCGTGGGGACACTGGTGGTGGGGAGGAAGTCCCCTAGACTGGAATCCCCAACGCTCAGATTCTAGCTCTTCCTCAATGGAGCTTTAGCGAGAGAAGCCTGCTCCAGGCGTGTGGCTAACTTTCCGCTTTCTAGCAAAGCTCTGGGGAAGGTGGGAGAGTAAGGCCACTGTGAAGGGGCCGAGTAGAAGCTGCTGGACACCAGCTGCAGAAAGCCCACTCCTGCGGTGGCACCCTGTACCCCGTGATAGGGAGGCAGGTGACACCAGAGAGCTTTGGGGAACATCCCAGTGCCGGTGCTCTGATTGTGTAGGGGCACAGGGGCTGGGTTACGGAGGACCATGTGAGAGGGTCATTTCACCAGCAGTGGGTCAGAGGAAGCCCCTGTGGGCCCAGGTCTGTTGTGTCAGTCCTCATATTCCTTAAGCAGGGCTGGAGTTAAGGCTGTGAGATCTGTGCAGCCGTGCAGGGCCCTGTGCTTTGAAGGGCCTCGTGCCTGTTTTAATACTCTGCTGTCACTGTCTGGAAATTTTTGGTAAGTTTTGAACAAGGGCTCAGACAGTTTCATTTCGCACCCTCCCCTCCCCCCAGTTATGTGGCCAGCCCTGATTTCAAGGCTCCCAGAAATGTTGTAGGGTTCACTGTCCAGTCTTGGTCCTGGGTGGGACATGAAGTTTAGGGAAGGACCTGGGGACCTCTGGCTGTCGGGTCCTGCCTGTGGTGGGGAGGGTGACTCCGCCCTTGGCTCTCCAGGGCCCCAGCATCGTCTCATGAATACTTACTTTTTTCTTCGAGGTGGAGCAGTGTTCTGGGTGCCTAGAGGTTGGAGTTGGACTGGGACCCCTGTGGCCTGCCCTCCTTTGCCTTAGTTGCTGTCATGTCTCCTTTAGGGAGTGTGTGGAGTGCAAGAAGTTTGAGCGGGGCGTCCTGCACGAGGAAAACACCTGCAGCCGCTACTGCCGTGACGAGATCGAGTCTGTGAAGGAGCTGAGTAAGTGGAGCAGCACGTGTCCGCGCCGCACGCACCGCCCAGGGCCTGAACGTCTCCGGTTCAATCCCAGCTCCTGTCTGCGCAGTGAAGGGAATTCCTGCATCAAGCAGCGAGCATTGCGCAGGCCTGATGCACAGTAGGCACGTGGTGGCAGCCGGCTGCCCTGAGGGGCCCCCTGCACCCCTACCAACGGGACCAGCAGTCCCTCCTGCTTCTGCTTCCCCGAGCCCACGGGCTCAGCAAGGGCCTGCACATAGCTCTTCCAGGGTGTGTAAGTCAGAGAACCCTAACTCCACCTTCCGAGGGGAGGGAGACAGTGCACTTCATTTCACAGCTGAAGAAGCTGAGATAGAGGCTGGGAAGCAGCTTCCTGTGAGATCATCAGCTTAGCTTAGTAGGCTAGTACGCGCTTGCCAAGGTTACTAGGAGTGCTAAGCAGTGCCCAGGCTTTTGCTTAAAACGTTGCTGATTTGGAGCAAAGCCTTCACCCTTGTGGATCTGTAGCTAAAATTTTTATCCCGAAGCCCTTCTGCCTCCTTGGATTCCCCCCCGGAATAAGACAGAAACACGAAAAGAGGAGTGGAACTCTTACCTGTGGTTATTCTGGTCTGTGCTGCATCCTGACTTAAAAGGAGGTGATCCTTGCTGCCATTAGCACATTTGCTGGGCTTATTTGGGTCAGTGAGGCATCGGAAGGTGCTGGGAGCTGGCGGTCTCTCCAGAGACAGCAATTCCCAGTGAGGCCTGAGCACACACAGCCAGTGGGTTAGCTTCCAGGAGAGGGTGTTCTAGAAGTCAGATTTCTGGACCTTTTGGCAAATACCAGAAATGGGCCTGGGCAAGGCTGGTGATTTAGCAATTGAGTCTTAAGAGGCAACTTTTTATCCTTTAGAGCAGGTGGCTTTTATAGGGTAGTTGATAAGTATTTCTTTACCCACTTCCCCTCACCACCATAATCATCATCACAATTCATGCTTATTAGTATGAAATGTTATCCTAATGGAAGTATAAAAGTTATGCTTAAGGGGGCCGGCACTGTGGTGTAGCCGGTAAAGATGCCACCTGCAGTGCTGGCATCCCATATGGACACTTGTTTGAGTCCCAGCTGCTCCACTTTCAATCCAGCTCTCCACTATGGCTTGAGAAAGCAGTAGAAGATGGCCCAAGTGCTTGAGCCCCTGCACCTGCATAGGAGACCTGGAAGAAGCTCCTGGCTTCAGATGGGTGCAGCTGTGACTGTAGCAGCCATCTGGGGAGTGAACCAGCTGATGGAAGACCTCTCTCTCTTTTTGCCTCTGCCTCTCTGTAACTCTGACTTTCAAGTAAACAAATAAAATCTTTTTTTAAAAAACAGTTATGCTTAAGAAGGTATAAAAGTATGAGAATAGTTCTTAGAGAAATGGGATGAAACAATAAGTTGGAGTGGGCATTTAGCCTAGTGGTTAAGGTAACAGTTAAGAAGCCCACATTCCATATTGGAATACCTGGGCTTGATACCGACCTCCAACTCCTGATTCCAGTTTTCTGCCAACACAGACCTGAGGAGGCAGTGGCAATGGCTCGGGTGATTGAGTTCCTGCCGCTCCACATGGGAGACCTGGATTGAGTTCCAGTTCTCAGATGCAGCCCTAGCCTGACCCCAGCCATTGTGGGCACTTGGGGAACCAACAACAGATGGGAGCTTGCTCTCTTTCTCTATCCTTCTCTCTTAAATAAATATTTAAGAATAGAAATTTTGGAATTCATGTACAGGTTTTTCATATTATGCATTTTACATGAATGTTTTGATGAACGCTTATGTGCATGAATTTCAAATTTTTTTTCACCAAAATGAACTTACCTTTTAATTCAAAATTTTTAAAAGATTTATTTATTTGAAAGGCAGAGTCATATATATAGAGATAGGCAGAGAGAGAAAGAGAGATTTTCCATCCTCTGGTTCACTCCCCAAATGGCCACAATGGGCAGAGCTGGGCCAGGCTAAAACCAGGAGCCAGGAGCTCTTTCAGGTCTCCCACATGGGTGCAAAGGCCGAAGGACTTGGGCCATTTGCTGCTGCTTTCCCAGGCGCATGGGCACGGAGCTGGGTCAGATTATGGGATGCCATGGTACTGGCCTCCTTCATTTAAATTTTCACAGATTTTTGCAGTGCCCCTGTATCCTTCGTAAGCATTGCATTCTTCCTCTCCCAACAACCTCAGGAAGTAGAGCTATAGTATCATCATCTTCATTTTAAGGATGAGGAAGTTGAGTCTCAGGAAAGTAAAATGACTTCCTCCAAGGAAAGGAGCAGTGAGTCAAGATGAGCACTCCATCCTGAAAGCCTGGCTCTTTCCCTCTGTGATAACACTGCCAGCTTGCTGATGGCTTTTGTGGTCTGTGGGGTGTGTGTGTTTTAAAGCTTTTATTTATTTTTTGAGAGGCAGAGTTAGAGACAGGAAGAGAGGTCCTCCATCTGCTGGTTTACTCTCCAAATGGCTGCATCGGCCGGAGCTGCGCTGATCTGAAGCCAGGAGCCAGGAGCTTCTTCCAGGTCTCCCATGCAGGTGCAGGGGCCCAAGGACTTGGGCCATCGTCTGCTGCTTTCCCAGGGCATAGCAGAGAGCTGGATCGGAAGAGGAGCTGCTGGGACTAGAACCGGTGCCCATATGGGATGCTGGCACTGCAGGCAAAGGATTAACCTGCTGCTCCACTGTGCCGGCCCCTGTGGGACGTGCTATGAGACCGATGTTCCAGCCCTGCCCTGTCACATAGTTGCTGTGTGACTGTGAGATCTGCTTCATCTCCTCTGGGGTCTCTCTGGCTTCATCGGTGTAGGACGTGGTACAGCCGCGGGAGGATAACCCACAGTGTTGCTGGCAGAATGACAGATTTTAGAATGAGAAGGAATGAAGCTGACGAAGAGAGTGGGAGCCAGAGAGGAGAGAGGATGGCTCCAGGGAGGCACCCTGGGTCAGAACAAGTGGAAGGATTGTTCAATACAAACAGAAATACAAGGGTTGTTGAACAAGCAGAGAAAGGAGAAGAAGGGAGGGACACCTAGTGTCTGTTAGGGCTGTTTACTTTCTGTTGTTTAGTTCTCCACCAAGGCTGTGAGGTGGGGCTGCCATTTTCCTTAACTCGATGACGAAAGAGAGTTGATGAGGCTGAGTAACTTACCCGAGATCACACAGTGGGTGCAGAAGCCAGACTTTGTGTGAGGCTGTAACGTCATCTCCCTTCCAGAGGAAGGGATAAGAACTAGAAGGCAGCTGTGGGGGACAAAATGCGTCATCCGGGTCACCGAGTGGCAGCTGCCAGATGCGACAGCCACCTCAAGTCCAGGCGTCTTACCTATGTCAGACGCACACAGGTTTCTTGTTGTGTACTTGCCCAGGATCCTGGGATAGGACTTGGGGAAGCCTTGTCTTCTGGGAATTGACCTGTTTTCATTCTTCCACCTTTTCCCCCATCCAGGGGACACTGGCAAGGATGCTGTGAATTGTACGTACAAGAATGAGGATGACTGTGTCGTCAGATTCCAGTACTATGAAGACTCCAGTGGCAAGTCCATCCTGTATGTGGTAGAAGAGCCAGGTGAGCCCCTGCCGCCACCCCCAGGGAGAGGGAGCCGTGCCAGACAGGACCTTCCACTCATACCCCTCCTAAACAGAACAGGGTAAGCCTGGCCTTGGAGTATTGAGGTAGTCTGTCATCTGGTGAGGGGGACAGATCAAAGTGATTTTGCTAATTGAGAAAAGAACAAAATAAGGTGGGTAGGGAGAGAAGGAAGGTAGGTATGAATTTCATCAAGGAACAAAATATACCCTAAGTATTTTTTAGGCAATAATGTCCAAGAAGTAAGGAATTTAAATTCCAAGACTTTACAGTGCACGTCATCTGTGCTACTGCAGTGAGACAGTTGCCAGGAGCAACCGGCCTGCTGCTCCAGAGGAAGGCCAGGTGCTCGGAGGCATTGCTCTTACCAGCCTCACTGCAGGAGGTAGCAGTGGGTTTGAGACACTGACTCAGGGTTGTCCTGAAGAGTCAGGGCTTGCTCTGCACGTCCTCTGGAGCAGGCGGAGCCCATCCCATCACACACAGACCAGCTGCAGCTTTGTCACCACCCAACACTCAAAAATTTTGTTTGCTTCCCCTTACCATCCTCATAGCTTTCTGTCGCCATCTGCTTTCTGTGGCCAGAACAAGATTCCTGAGGCTGGGTAATGTGAGAAGGAAAGAGGCTTATTTGACTCATGGTTGTGTCCAAGGTTGAGTCCTCCTGGGCTGCAGTGGGCAACTGCATCATGGAGGGAGCATGTGCAAGAGGGAGAGCAGTCACACGGTGAGACTGGAAGCAAGGAGGCTCAGGGCCAGGCTTGCTCTTTTTATAACAACCCACAGAACCAACCATATTAATCCATCCTGGGGATGGTGCCCCCAGTGACCTAGTTACCTTGCATGGAGCTCTGCCTCTTAAATGCTTACCTGCCTCAATATTGCCACACTAGGGACCAAGCTTCTGGCCCTTGAAGCCTTGGGAGATGCATTAAAACCACACCCACACCATAGCCTCTTCCTGTCCCGTACACAACAGATTAAGATATGAGCAATGAGAGAATATTTTTGAGGGCTTAATGTACACCAGATGCTACATGGCATGCTGAGAATATGACAGCCAGGCAGACCTGGTACTCAGAGGTCATGGGTAAAGATGGGCGTGTAAATCTACAGTGACACTACAGGGAGAAGGGCCATGTGATGGACAAGAACTTACAGGAATGAAGGAATAATGTCTGAAGGGGAAGGCTGAATGGGCTGTTTTCTTGACATTTGCAGGCTGTGAGAGTTTCTTCAAGCCATCTTTTAGACAAGGAGCCAGAAAATGTTTTCTAGAAAGATCAGATGTTATATATTTTAGGCTTTGTAAGTCATGTGGTCTTTCTGAGGCTACTCAGCTCTGCCATTGTAGCAGGAAAGCAGCAGTAGACAATACATAAATGAATGGGCATGGCTGTAATTGCAAAGACAGGTAGCAGATACATTTGGTTCATGGGCTGTAGTCTGCTCATCTGTGCTTCAAAGCAGTGGTTCTCAAACTTCACTATGCTTGTTATATTCTATTTAAAAAATCTGGAGCCCTAGGCAGGCATTAGGACACATTATGGGTAAGTCATTGCATCCCATATCAGAGTGCCGGGGTTTGAGTCCAGAGTCCAGCCCCTGATTCCAGCTTCCTGCTAATGCAGACCCCGGGGGGCAGCAGGTGGTAGCTTATATAATTGGGTCTCTGCTACCCACATGAGGGGCCTGGATTGGATGCTGGGCTCCTGGCCTTGGTCTGGGCATTTGGGGAGTAAACTAGCAGGTGGGAAGTGCCTCTTTCTCTGTTTCTCTAGGTCTTAAAAAAAATCTCAAATCCTGAGCCCTTCCCTGCTTTCACGAGCGTATATGCCTGTGTTCTTCACTAGTAGTTGGGATACACCCAGCATGTGAGCACCTGTGCTTCAGACACATTGCTTGCCCTGAGGAACCTTCTCAGACCTTCTCCGGCCTCAACAGTGATGACTAGATTTGGTGCTTCCGTTCAATTCTCATAGCATCTATGCTTTCCTTAGAAGAGCCTTCGTCACTCTGGTATTAAATTCCTTCTTTAATCATTGGCTCCATTGATCATAAACTCCATGAATGCAGGAACCATGTCTGTCTTATCTGTTGATCTATATTCATACTTAGTCCCCTAAAAGAAGATATTTAATAAGCAGGTTCATATGAATTACTAGGACTGATGTTTCCTGGTGGACAAGAGGGCTTATGTACATCTTGGTATCCATTGGGAGAGCTTCGGCTGCTTGGGGAAGGAGGTGGGTGATGGTGGGATAAGGGGAGCGGGAAAGCCTGGGAGAACCATCTCCCATCACACTTCCTTAAAAAGGGCTGCCACACCTGTGCCGCCCAGGGTGTTGTTGCCTCACCTCTGCATTCTACAAAAGCCAGGGTTCCCAGAAATGGCTGGGGCAGGAAAGAGCAAGGCAACAAGACAGGACCTGTGACCCTTTGGTCTGGGAGCCCCTCTCCCGAGGCAGAGGAAGGCTCTACAGGCAGTGAGCCGCGCTGTTGAGTGGAGGTGAGCGGGTGCTCTATTCTGGGATATTGCTCATAGCCCTTCCTGGAGTTCCCTCCCTTTATAAGAAATGGCATCTCCTTAATTTAAGTTAGTGACTGCAGGAGAAACGGAAGTGGAGAAGGGTGGAAGGGATCCTGTGGGGAGTGGATGTGGATTGTCCTTCCCACCTCCCATATGAACGCCTGTGCAGGTTTTTCCACACCGTACCTGTCTGCACATTTGTTCCTTCTTACTTCAGATGGGCATTATGCCTTTGCTTTGGGGTCTAATTACTTCATTTCCTACTACAGTGATCCTTAGTGGTGCTCCTGTCCTATCCCTGACTGGAATCACTCGGCTGCTATCTTTTTTTTTTTATGATTTTGACAGGCAGAGTGGACAGTGAGAGAGAGAGACAGAGAGAAAGGTCTTCCTTTGCCGTTGGTTCACCCTCCAATGGCCGCCGCTGCAGCCGGCGCACCGCGCTGATCCTGGCAGGAGCCAGGAGCCAGGTGCTTTTCCTGGTCTCCCATGGGGTGCAGGGCCCAAGCACCTGGGCCATCCTCCACTGCACTCCCTGGCCATAGCAGAGAGCTGGCCTGGAAGAGGGGCAACCGGGACAGAATCCGGCGCCCCAACCGGGACTAGAACCCGGTGTGCCGGCGCCGCAAGGTGGAGGATTAGCCTATTGAGCCACGGCGCCGGCTCGGCTGCTATCTTAAGAACGGATTCTATTGCCTGAGGTTGTGGGTAACCAAGGTGTTGATACCTGGGATGGCACAAATAACCATCCACTGCCACTCGACAGTGCGGCTCACTGCCTGCAGAGCCTTCCTCTGCCTCGGGAGAGGGGCTCCCAGACCAAAGGGTCACAGGTCCTGTCTTGTTGCCTTGCTCTTTCCCGCCCCAGCCATTTCTGGGAACCCTGGCTTTTGTAGAATGCAGAGCTGGGGCCCCGGAGTGCAGAGGGAAAATGTTCCCTTTCTCTTCTCTAACTCCTGCTCTTGCAGCTGCTCCCCACTGAAGCGCTGAGCCACTGTAGGGCAGCCAAGAGAGCGTTGCAGAAGGGTTTAGCATTGGCCAACATGGAATGGGCTCTTGGCCTATGGCTTCATCACTTCTAGGTGGGGTTGCCAGATAAAATATAGTATGTTCCATGCAACACATGGTAGATACTTACATTAAAAAGTAATTTGTTGTTTATCTGAATACAAATTTATCTGGGCTCCTTATACTTATTTTGTGCTAAATCAACCCTGACCTTGGGCCACTCATCATGGGTCCACTGCTGTGGCTGAGCGAGTTCTCCAGAGACTGCCTGGCCTTGTCTTCTGCTTTAGGGAGCCTTCCACTTACCTCTTTCAGGGCAGATAGTTAACAGATTATTTTCCTGTGAAGACCTCCTGGGGTCTACCTGTCCTGATCATGCTAACCGGCAGAATTGAAGAGATTTCAATTAGGTGGAAGGTTTCCCTACCCCAGTCTCCTAGAGAATTCATAATCATTTTCCCCAGAGGAGCTAGGGCCCTTCATTGCCGGGAGCACACCCCCCGGTTCCTCACACCCTCTGTCCAGGCGCTCCTTTCATTACAGACAGGTTGTAATTTGGAGGGTTTGTGGTGGTGGTTGTTTTTGTGTAGTGTGTGGTCAGCACAGTGTGTATGTTTAGAGAAGCAGGTGGGAGACTGTGGTGGGCTGTGGGGGTGACTTCCTTTCCAGGCTCATCAATCCCCATATATACAAACACCTGGTTTCCTAACACTGCGGTTACCAGAGTGAGGTCACTTGCCTGTCACTGGAGGTTTATGGGAAGCAGAGCCCTGCAGGGCACACCCAGCCTGACCCTCAGCGGGGTGACATATGCCTGCTGTGTGTGTGGTTGTTGACCAGGCTCCAGCAGGAAGGCGGCTTTCAACAGAGTTGGGAGTTTAGATAACTACATGTCTTGAGGAAGGACCCACAATATTGTCTTGGCTGGCAGGCCTCCTGGTCTCTAAGGATGCTGGAAAGGCCATTAGGTTGACAGCCCCAGGAGTGTCAGTATCTGAACCAGGTAATGGACACAAGTGACTGTGAGGGTTACGTAGACGAGTGAGTTAGTGAAAACAGCTGGCAGAGAGAGCAGCACCAGGAACACTGGTGGCTGGTTTTCATCCCGCATCCATCCTATGTTGGGTGCTGTTTCGAGTTCTTTACATACAGTAAACTTAGTCATTCACTGTAACAAAAAGGTTTGAAAGTCAATGCTGCTACTTTTAACGTTGGAGGAACAGGAAGGCTGAATAACTTAGCAGAGGTCAGGTAGCAGAGTTGGTGGTAAGCCAGGATCCAAACCCAGGGAGCTGGCTGCAGGGTGCACAGGAGCCCAGGGCCATGTCCCACCACCTTGCCTGCCTTCAGGGGAGAAAGGAGTGAGGAGGACTCAGGCATACTAGAAAACAGCACGACGCTCTCCGAAGAGGGCGCTGCTTTTCTGCGCGGCCTCTGGTGTTTCTAAATCTTTTTTTTTTTTTAAGGGTACAATAATCTGAAAGTTTAGGGGGAAATCTTCTGATTACTCCGTGTGCCTACAGTTAGTTTTTGAAGTAAACACTTGGGTGGTCCCACGTGGAGCGGGGTGGATTCTGCCTAGGCATGCCCAGTTTGAGATTCTGATGAACCCCTCAGGACAGGTAGATGCTGTCCTGGAGATTCCCCCTTTTAAAGAAATGGTTATTTTTTAAGATCCTCTTGTTTTCTTCAGAGACCTTGCTAATACAGATTGAATATCCCTTATCTACAATGCATGGGACCAGAAATTTTTCAGATTTCTGAGTTTTTTGGATTTTGAAATATTTGCATAGACTTTACTGATTAATCATCCCTAATCCAAATATCACATATTCTCTAAGATTTGAAGTTTTTGGAGCATAATGTACACTCAAAACATTTTGGGTTTAAGATTTTTGGATTAGGGATGCTCGGTCTATATTACTTGGTCAAGGAGAGCCTATTTTAAAATATTTGTTTATATTAAGGAAACAGATTTCATGTAACCCATGTGCACAATTTTAAGAACATAATGACACTTCCCAGATTCTCTTCTTCCCTCCCCCCTCCTCCTTCCTTTCTTATTTTTATTTTAATTTTTGCAGCGACATAGGTTCAGTTGACTTTATTATCACGTGCTTTCCCCTCCACTAGATGAAGAATTCAGTGAGTAGGAAGTAGCAAGACCACTGTAAGGAGACCTTCTTCATAGCCAGTTCCAGTGACTCCTGTAGTATTCACAGCCCCTTGCTCTCTGTTCTTTCCTGACAGAGTGTCCCAAGGGCCCTGACATCCTGGTGGTCCTGCTTTCAGTGATGGGGGCCATTTTGCTCATTGGCTTTGCCTTGCTGCTCATCTGGAAGCTCCTCATCACCATCCATGACCGGAAAGAGTTTGCTAAATTTGAGGAAGAACGAGCCAGAGCGAAATGGGACACCGTAAGAGTTTGGGCTGGGCTGGGTGTTTTCTTGAGTCCTTATCCCCAGACGGAGGCAGCAGGTGCTAAGGGTCAGAGTCAGGGTCAGGGTCAGCCAGCAGCATCGTTGAGCAGTTGGTCTCTGTGCTGGAAAGGGGAGATGTTGACTCCTTAGCCTTCTTGCAAACCTGATTCTCTATGCCACACAGTAACCACAGGCCATGTCACTGAGGACTGATCAGGTGCAGCTCTGCTCTGACACTGTGGAAAATGAAAGAGAAACCTATTCTCCAATGGAGGCAGACGTCACCAGTATATGTTATGGTTGTGTACACTAGTATACAAAAATTCATGGAAAAATGGAATTAAAAAATCATGCAAAATTTTCACAAGTATTTATTTATTTGAGGGGTAGCCCCAAATGCTGCAATAGCCAGGGCTGGGCTAAGTAGAGACTGGGAGGTGGGAACTCAACTCAGGTCTCCTACATGGGTGGCAGGAACTGAATCACTTGAGCCATCATTGCTGTGCCCCGGAGTGTGCACTAGCAGAAAGTTGGATTCAGGAGCTGGAGGCAGGTATGGAACGCAGGCCTTCTGATATGGGACATAAGCACCCTACCTGCCACGTCAAGTGTCCACTGTTGCCACAAACATGTTAAAGCCCCTCATGGTTGACATTTACTGAGGATTTACCACATGCCAGGAGTGCTTCCAAATGCTTTTTTTTTTTTTTAAAGATTTATTTATTTACTTGAAAGTCAGAGTTACACACAGAGAGAAGGAGAGGCACAGACAGAGAGAGGTCTTCCATCCGCTGGTTCACTCCCCAAATGGCCGCAACGGCCAGAGCTGGGCTGATCTGAAGCCAAGAGCCAGGAGCTTCCTCCAGGTCTCCCATACAGGTGCAGGGGCCCAAGGACTTGGGTCATCTTCTGCTGCTTTCCCAGGCCACGGCAGAGAGCTGGATCAGAAGTGGAGCAGCCGGGTCTCAAACCAGTGCCCATATGGGATGCTGGCACCACAGGGGGTGGTTTTACCCACTGCGCCACAGTGCTGGCCCCCCAAGTACTTTTTACATATTAGCTTATCTCTACGTGGAGTCTTCAAAAAGTCCACAGAAATGTGTATATGAAGAACCATGCGAGGCTTGTGCTGTGGTGCGCCGGCATCCTATTTGGGCGCCGGTTTGAGACCTGGCCACTCCACTTTGATCCAGCTCTCTGCTATAGTCTGGGAAAGTGGTAGAAGATGGCCCAAGTCCTTGGGCCCCTGCACCCACGTGGAAGACCCGGAAGAATCTCCTGGCTCCTGGCTTCAGATCGGCGCAGCTCCGGCCATTGCGTCCAATTAGGGAGTGAACCAGCGGATGGAAGACCTCTCTCTCTGCCTCTCCTCTCTCTATGTAACTCAGACTTTCAAATATATGAATAAATCTTTAAAAAAAAGAAAAAGAGAAAAACCATGCATGAATTAAAAATTATTTTGCACCAAAATAAACTTAGCTTTTAATTCCATTTTTCCATGAACCTTTTTGAAGTCCCCGCACTGAACAACCCCCTGTGCTGGGCGGGGTTCTTGTTCCCACTGCACAGATAAGGAAATGGCACAGAGAAGTGGTCGGCCCATTTGTAGGAGGGAGTTAGGTGACCATAGGAGTCCCTTTCTTGGCTGACCTGTTAGAAACCAGTGCCAAGATGTCCTTCATTCCACCTCATTTGCTTCTTTTTCCTCAGGTGATGAGAGGGGAGCCTCCAAATCAGACTGCTGTCTGGCCCCCTGCAGCACATCCTGATTTAATCCAATCTAAGAGGCGTTTCTTGGGAGCTTTCTGGATGTGCTTAATTTTGCTCTATTCTCTTTCAGCTCATCTTCTGCAACGTAACTTTTCTTTGCTGGCTATTTGACTTCCTAAATGTCCAGGGTTAGGCTGGAAGTCTGTTTCCCTTTGCATGGTGACCCCAGGGCTTTGTAACCAACCATCCCATGAGACTGAGACATTTCTCTTAGGACAGTGTAACACATCCTGCACGTCAGAGATACACAAGGATGTGCTGGGTTTCTTGAAGCTCCCGTTGAGGACTACTCATTATGGAATTTGTTGCTTTTTGCTAGGAAATAATTTGGGAAACCTAGTAAGGGTCATTTCTCTGGTAATAGGAAAGTTTTGTGGATAGTTCTTAGAGAGATGAGATGAAAACAAATTATCTGAACAAAACCATACTCTGTTCTGGCCAGCACCTGCCTCATTGCTTTCTTACCGATACCTGTCTGCTGTCACCATAGGGGAAAAAGGAGAGAAGTGCCAGAAGAGAGTGTGGGGGAGGGGAGAGAGGCTGGGGAAAGCGGCACCAGAGAATGTTCCAGAAGCTCCAGAAGGCGCTGGCCTGGATTTAAGCTGGTGGAGACAGTGGCAGGATGGCATGCCACTTCTCCCGCCTCTGTGTCCACTCCCGTCTCACCTGTGAGTGCAGCGAGCACTCCCCTGCTGCCTGATGCTGTGTTCCAGAGCAGGTGCCGCAGGCAAACTTCTCAGATGAAGCAGGCAAGGGCTGAGGCATTCTTCTGTTCTCTCCACAGGCCAACAACCCGCTGTATAAGGAGGCCACGTCCACCTTCACAAATATCACCTACCGGGGTACCTAGTGACCAGACCACACCCTCCGATCGCTCAGACCATGCCAGGATGGCGGGTGTCTCTGCTGTCAAGTTTACGGAGGACAGCTGTGTGTGTAGGGGGGTGTCTCTGGGTGTGTGTCCGTGAGAGAGTGCAGTGTGAGTGTGCGTGTATGTGTGGGGAGGGTGGGGGAAATGTGTAACTTAAAACTTGTGACGTGTCAGGTGAGCACGGCCCCTCCGCTTTTGTCCTCAGAGTGCCGCCTGCAGGGATTCTGCCTGCTTAGCTTGAGGGTGCGTTCTGAGCTGAGCAGGTGTTCTTCATTACCTCAGAGAGACGCCAGCTTCCCCCCGGGCCCCTTCCCCTGAAGAAATGGGCGGGTCTGAGGCTTCTCGTTGCAGAGGGAAGGATGCCCAGCCTGGGCCCCACCCCGAGTTCCTGTGCTTCTTCAGCCGACTCCCAGCAGCCAGGGTGGGAGGGACTGCTGCCATCACCTCACGCTGGTTCCGTCGTCAGGGGAGTCCTTGTCACCTGACTCTCTGACCTGTGAGAGTGAAGCTAGCGGGGCCACTCAGGGCTCACACATGGCCCGAGGGCAGTGCCAGTGTAGTCAGAACCCTTTGGGTTTGCCTGTGGGCAGCGCTACCCTAGAGGTTTGTTTAGAAGACGCGTGTCACCCTCAGACCAGCACCACCTCCTTACCTCCTACTTCCATGCCCCCCGTCGTAGATGTTTGCTGTGTACTGGGATTTCTCTCACGACCAAATGCTTTTCCTCCAAGGGAGAGCGCTGTGATTAGAGCCAGCAGTCTGGCCCTGCGCTTCAGGCCTCTGCCCTTGGTCCAAGGTACCACCGCCACACCCACCCCTCAGCTCTGTGTGCTACTCCATGGATGGGAGTGATTGCATTTTCTACCTCTGGTGTCTGGTGAAGGAATCCTCCCGTGCGTCTGCTGGGTGTAAGCGCCAGGATGGAGTGAAGGGCCAGCCCTGCATCGCTGTGGCTACTTCTCCCGGGGGCTGCACAACCTCCTTGTAGTTCAGTTTTTAATCTGCGAGGCCATGGTGCAGTTTTATTTTGTTTCTCTCACTGGGGCACCTGAAACCACATGAGGTTTGTACAACTGAAAGGAACATGTGCATAGACACACTTGCATTATTTTTGCAATTTTATTTGATGACAAAGAAGGAGAGCCTGAACAGCCGTGAAGACTTGGAGGGATACAGACACTCCCATTCAGCATCACTCATAGTAAGTCACTGCCCAGTTGCTGGGTCTGTGAGGAGCTCTGTCTTCCCAGAAGCCTATGGGCATGGATTTACGGACACACTGGACCTTTCCTAAGGAGGAGGGACTTTTCTTTTGTCTCTACAATAGCAATTGCTCCGTTAGTGTTGCCATCCACCCAACGTTAAAAATCACCACCCTGCCACCCCAGGAAAGGGGAAAGACCAATAAATGGTGATCTGATGATCAAAAACCCTGGGTCCTGGCCTCTGTGTTGCAGCTAACACAGCTTTAACCTTCAGGAAGGCAAATCACTTTCTTCTCCCCAGGACTCAGTTTTCTAGTTTGCAGATGGAGTTGAACCAGCCAGTCTTGAAGATCTCTCTTAGTGTCAACATGCTAAGATGCTGAGACGTACCGTGGCAGGAGACATACAGTTAAGCTTCTGTGGGATATTGACAATAGTTTCTTTTTAAGCTGGGAGATTAGAGAGACCTGGCTTTGGCAAGAGCAGATGTCATTCCATATCACCTTTCTCAATAGCAGTCTTACATCCTGTCCTCTCCTGGAACCCCTTCTCCAACTTTTGGTAGCAGGTACATCTCCTGATGTAGCACCTCAGCTCCACTTGTTGTTTCTTAATTCACATAGCACTCATTTGCATCCACATATTAGGGAAGACAAATTAGCAAGTAGCCCATTCGCATGTTAACACTGAGAATGAGACTTGGAATTAAGAAGGAGGCAAATGACTGAACCCTGACTTGCCTGCACGTTGCCTCCTACTGTCAAGGGTGGGAATATGGTAGAAGGATAAACAGGGAGGAGGGATGATCGAAAATTCAGGAAGTTTAGAAACTACCTTCAACCTCCAGCTAAGGAGGCCGAGCTCATGGGAGTAGTAGTGCGACGTTTTCTTTCTGTAAGATGGCTTATGTGAAACTCCAATGAGGCTGGCACCACGGCTCACTAGGCTAATCCTCCACCTTGTGGCGCCTGCACACCGGGTTCTAGTCCTGGTCGGGCGCCGGATTTTCTGTCCCAGTTGCCCCTCTTCCAGGCCAGCTCTCTGCTGTTGCCCGGGAGTGCAGTGGAGGATGGCCCAAGTGCTTGGGCCCTGCACCCCATGGGAGACCAGGAGAAGCACCTGGCTCCTGCCATCGGATCAGCGCGGTGCGCCAGCCGCAGTGCGCTGGCCGCGGCAGCCATTGGAGGGTGAACCAATGGTGAAGGAAGAGCTTTCTTTCTGTCTCTCTCTCTCACTGTCCACTCTGCCTGTCAAAAAACAACAACAACAACAACAACAACAAAAACAAAACAAAACAAAACAAAAAAACTCCATTGAAGGAGAGAGAAAGTGTATGCAAAGGCTGGAAGAATGAGGAGGGATCTTTTCTGAGCTGCTTGAATGAGGCTCATAGATCATGAAGACCAGTGCTGTTTGTCATCATGTGGGGCTCACTGTGGCTATGCTCATGGGCAGCAGATGCCAGCCTGGCGTAGGAGGAACTGACTAGCATCCCAGCCTTGGATAACACGGTGCAGTGGACTGTGCTCTGCTGCTTTGGAGACACTGTATGTCCAGTCTCAGGGTCTGTGGACAGCAACGGGAAACTGAACATTCCTGACAAGTTGTCATATTGAGGCAGTTCTTTACCTCTCAGATGTTTCTAGGCCATCCATGATTTCAAGATACTTGTCTTTGTTATTCTTGGTTGAAATTGGCTCAGTGCCTTCCTGTCTTCCTAACCACCTTCTGTGTTTGAATTGTGCAACAGTGAATTAAATGTGCTTTCCAAAAAGAGTTGACCTATGGCTGGCTCCCCAGTGCTTCCTGTGTTATTTCTGTTTCTTTTGGGTGAAAAGAATAAGTGTCATTGCTTTATAAAACATTAGTTTAGAACAAACATGTTTTCAAATATAACAGAATGATGACCACTACAGGAACTGAAGCTAGCTTCAGAATCCAGAGTTTCTCTTTACATAATATTTTCACAATGAGTAGGCTGTACCTGTTCTAAGAATTTGAGTTTTTTTTTTTTTTTTTTTTTAAAGTCAGAGTTAGAGAGAGGGAGAGGCAGAGATCTTCATCTGCTGGTTCACTCCCCAGATGGCTGCATTGGCCAGGGCTAGGCCAAGGTGAAGCCAGGAGCCAGGAACTTCCTCCAAGTCTCTCATGTGGGTGGCAAGGTCTCAAACACTTGGGCCATCTTCTGTTGCTTTTCCCAGGCCATCAACAGGGAGCTGGATTGGAAGTGGAGCAGCTGGGACACAAACTGGCACCCATATAGGTGCTGGCATCACAGGCAGTGGCTTTACCCACTATGCGACAATGCTGGCCCTGAAATTTTTTTTAAGATTTATTTATTTGAAAGTCAGTATAACACACTAAGTGTGGTTGGGGAGAGATGGGGAGAGAGAGAGAGAGAGATCTTATGGCCACAATGGTCAGGACTGGACCAGGCTGAAGTCATGAGCCTCTTTGGGTCTCCCATGTGGTTGGCAGGGGCCGAACACTTGAGCCATATCCCACTGCTTTCCCCAGACCATTAGCAAGGATCTGGATTGGACGTGGAGCAGTCAGGACATGAACTGTTGCCTATATGGGATGCTGACATTTCTGGTGGCAGCTTTACCGCTATATCACAACACTGAATTTGATTTTTTTAAAGACTGTTTTATTTAGACTACTAGGAATTTGTACAGTCTCAACAGGCTGTCCGTGTAATTTAGGTTTTGTTTGTAGGAAGCATAAATGGGTATAAGAAAGGTTTAATGGAAAGTGGAGCAGCAGCGTCAATATCACCTGGAAACTTGTCAGAAATGAAGGTGGACAGGCTCCACCCAGGACTCCACTCATGTGTTACTGACAGGACTGCGTTCTGTGAAATGCGTTATTGTGTGATCACCAGAGTGCACTTCCACGACCCCAGAAGGTGTATATCGACCACCTGACATGGCCTTGATGCCATCAAGAGGCACAGTGAACAGATGTACGAGGCTGCCGCCAGCATACCTCGGCAGACTGTTTCACAGTTACCTTAAAATGTAGTACACTCTAAAATAATGATCAAAAGTCTTTATCAAGTATGATACGACTTCAGCACGGTAGCTTTGGTTATACCAGCATCACCACAAACACATGAGTAACCTGTTGGACTGCAGCTTTAAACAGCTATGATGTCATTGGGTGATAGGAATTTTTCAGCTCATTGTAGTCTTTTGGGGCCATCATCCTATAAGTGGTCCGTCACTGATGGAAATGGCATTATTGGTGCCTCACTAGCAAATCAGAAGACCCACGGTGGGCCAGTAATCCGTGCTTTAATAAGCCTTGCTGGTTGTTCTGTTGCGTGGTTGTGATTGAGAACGACTGGAGTCACCTGCGTCCTCTGGCTTGGGAATTTAACTTCACTTGGTTACTGTGTAGTTAAGGACATAGCTTAGCGGTAGATTCGGCAAACCAAACCTCTGTCTACTCCAAATGAAAACCTCCCCCCTTATTTATGAAATTAGACATTGTATTCAGAATACATCTGTGCAGAGCAGTGCAACTGAGTCACAGTAATTCCACTTGCTAACTTTTCATTGTAGAAAATCTACTTTTGATCCATTTTCCAAGTGACCTTGGGTTTCTCATACTTACAGCCCATGGAGGGAAAAACAGGATATTTGGCTTAAGAAAACTTTTTATATGTATCAAGTTGAAAGCAAGGAAATATTCCTACAGAATTTATTCACAGGAGTTAGGTATTAAAGTCTGAATTATTAACATTATCATCCTATAAGATTCCAGAATGAGACTTTAGAATTTGTGACTTCACTTTTTGCTATTTAAAATTTACTCAGTACTGACAGCATGGGATTGAAGTACTTTGTAAAACTTTTGTAGCATAATCTTTGCCTTTGAGTCTTAAGTTCCTTGCTTTATATACATTTTTTTTTTTTTTTGGACAGGCAGATGGACAGTGAGAGAGAGAGACAGAGAGAAAGGTCTTCCTTTTTGCCGTTGGTTCACCCTCCAATGGCCGCCACGGCCGGCACGCTGCGGCCGATGCACCGTGCTGATCTGAAGGCAGGAGCCAGGTGCTTCTCCTGGTCTCCCATGGAGTGCAGGGCCCAAGCTCTTGGGCCATCCTCCACTGCACTCCCTGGCCACAGCAGAGAGCTGGCCTGGAAGAGGGGCAACCGGGACAGAATCCGGCGCCCCGACCGGGACTAGAACCCGGTGTGCCTGCGCCGCAAGGCGGAGGATTAGCCTAGTGAGCTGCGGTGCCGGCCACTTTATATACATTTTTAAAAACAATACAATGCATGACACCGTAGGAGGATCACGTGAGCTGGCACTGTGGTGCAGCAGGTTAAGCTGTGAGTGCTGGTTTAGGTCCTGGCTGCGCTGCTTCTGGGCCAGTTCCCCGCTAACGTACCTTGGAAGGCAACGGGAGATGGCCCAAGTACTTGGGCCCATGCCACCCATGTGGGAGACCGTTATGAAGTCCCTGGCTTCAGCCTAATGCAGACCCAGCTGTTGCAGCTATTTGGGGAGTGAACCTGCAGATGGAAGATTCTCTTTCCCTCTCTTTCACTCTTTCAATTAAGTAGTTAAAAGTAAAGATCACATGAACATAGACTGAGTCCTTTCATGGTGAAATTGGTGACATTCGCTGTGATTCACATCTGTGAACTGGTGGCTAAATGAATGGGAATGGAGAAATGAAATGCTTCATTTAAACCACATTTGAGGTCCTTTAGCACCTGGCCTCTGTAGTCTGAACTCTATAGTCACAGAGCCGTCTAGTGACCAATTACAAGCAGGTTGGGAATTGCTCTGCACTGGTTCACACTGATGGGGTGGAAGAAAGCACATGCTTTGCAAGTGAGCCACTTAAAATGGTTTTAATTTGATTTTGTAATACGAGTTTCTGGAAATAGATATTTCTAATTTGTTTTAGTTTGGTTAAAGCATGCAAGTGGGCATTCTCAGATGCTTGTGATTAGGGTATGTCACTAAATAAAAATTTAAAAATCCACTTAAGATGGCTGCCTAAAGATGGTTTACATGGTAAAGGAAAGTTAAGAGGTTAGAAATGATTGCCTTCCTTGTAGGTGTTAAATGTCAGTGATGTCGTTCTAACCCCTTGCAAGGAGGGAACACTTTTTATTAGCTTTATTTGCAGACTATCAATGTATTTACAGACAAGATATAAAAGAATGAGTAGAGAACAACGTTTAGAAAATTTAAGAGCCTTTAAGCAAAATGTTTAGCAGTGTCTCCAGAAAATAACTTTGTAAGGAAAAAGTTTCACAATTGCATTTTACCTAGTGTATTAGTAGAGTTTTCCAGTGACTCATACACAATTGGCATGATTCTTTGGAGAGGTCAGGGCAGTGGGTGTGTAAATATCACTTTGGTGGCTATTGGAAGTACTCTTAAAAAAAAAAATAGGAAACCTATTGATAGTGTATACTGGACTTCGCTTTTCCTAACCTTATAATTACCACTCAGACAGAGATCGTTAATTGTGCCCCAGTATCTGTTTTCTCTTTCTCAGATAGGATTTGCATTGCTAAGTTTTTAAAAAAATATTTGTTTTTATTTATTTGAAAGACAGAGTTAAAGAGAGAGGCAGAGCTAGAGAGAGAGTCTTCTATCCACTGGTTCACTCCCCAGATAGCTGCAATGGCCAGAGCTGTGTCAATCCGAAGCCAGGAGCTAGGAGCTTCTTCTGGGTCTCACATGTGGGTGCAGGGGCCCAAGCACTTGGGCCATCTTCTATTGCTTTCCCAGGCTATAGCAGAGAGCTGCATCGAAGCAGAGCAGCTGGGACACAAACTGGTGCCAATATAGGAGCCAGCGCTGCAGTCTAGGGCTTTAACCCACTGTGCCATGGTGCAGGCCACTGAACTGCTAAGTTTTATTTGGGCACATGGCTACCCAGGAACAATACCATTTCCTCTTCTCCCATATGCCTAGAAGTGCTACATTCTTCTCCTAGACAATGAAATGTAAATGAAAGAAGTATATGCAACTTCTAGTAAATGCCAGTTAAGGGAAGGAGCAAGACTTTTTCTCCCTTTCCTTCGTTCTGCAAATTAGAATACAGTGGTAATAGCTAGAGGTTAAGCAGCCATCATAGATCAAGATGTGACCTAGAGGTTCTTAGTTATCCATAACTGCTTAAGAAATTACTCCATAACTTGGCAGCTTGAAACAACGAGCATCATCTTCCAATTTCTGTGGTCAGGAATTCAGGAATGGCTTAGTAGGGTGGTTGTGGTTCTTTTTTTTATTTTTAATTTTTATTTTTTTGACAGGCAGAGTGGACAGTGAGAGAGAGAGACAGAGAGAAAGGTCTTCCTTTTTGCCGTTGGTTCACGCTCCAACGGCCGCCGCGGCCGGCACGCTGCGGCCGGCACACCGCGGCCGGCACACCGCGCTGTCCGATGGCAGGAGCCAGGTGCTTCTCCTGGTCTCCCATGGGGTACAGGGCCCAAGGACTTGCGCCATCCTCCACTGCACTCCCTGGCCACAGCAGAGAGCTGGCCTGGAAGAGGGGCAACCGGACAGAATCCAGCACCCCGACCGGGACTAGAACCTGGGGTGCCGGCGCCGCAAGGCGGAGGATTAGCCTAGTGAGCCGCGGCGCCAGCCAAGTAGGGTGGTTCTGACTCAGAATCTCTCATGAGGTTGTAGTCAAACTGTTGGCCAGGACTGTAGTCAACTGAAAGCTCAAAGAGGCTAAAGCAGCTTTTTTGGGATGGTTTGCTCACATGGCTGTTGGCAGAAAATATCAGTTTCGTGCT